AAATAAGTATGTATGTATGTATGTTTATAACTTTGCTTTAGAAAGGAAAATTCAAGAGCAAAATCAAGAAAATAGATAATTAAATTAAATCTAAAGGGCAGCTTTCTGAAATAAAGGACTGTCCTTTATAATAAAAGAGGTCTTGTCACTGTATCCAAAATACATCCAAGGATTCAGACAAAAGTTGCGATCTTTTCAAAATAGCAATAAAAAAATCTTCTGTATTGACTGCAGAAGAATATGATTGTCAATTTAAGTCAATCCCACCAAAAAGGAAATTAGATACCTTGGCTTGGATTGTGTTATATGGTTTTTTATACGTTTTTATATTACATTCTGTTTATTTATATTGTTTTTTTTTAATTGCTGTAAATCACCCAAAGTCATGTATTTGAGATGGGCAGCTATACAAATAGACATGAATAAATAAATAAATAAATGAGAAAAAAACATATTAACAAAGACAAAAATCTTATACAGTACCACACTTCTCCAGCTTGACCATTCCAGCTGAAACAAATCTTAGCAATTTCAATTTCACAAAGGAACGTACAATAAATGTTTCCACACAAACTCTTTATCTATGTGGATGGATATATGTACGAGTGTATAAAGCTGTCAAAAGCCTCACTCCAAAAAAGGGAAAGGCTAATATGTAATATTAAACAAAAAACAAAAAAACAAAACTCTTTCACCCCTACGGGTGGTACGTGTCTTCCTCAATCTCGGGTCCTCTACCAGAGGCCTGGGAGTTTGAGGGTTCTGCACAGCCTCTTAGCTGTTCCTAGCACTGCACTCTTCTGGACAGAAAGCTCTGATGTTGTTCCTGGGATATGTTGGAGCCACTCTCCCAGCTTAGGAGTCACAACCCCGAGTGCCCCTACCACCACTGGGACCACTTTAGCTTTTACTTGCTATATCCTCTCTAGTTCTTCCTTCAGGCCCTGGTACTTTTCTAGCTTCTCATACTCCTTCTTTCTGATGTTGCTGTCACTTGTATCTATAACCACTGCTATCTTCTGGTCCTTGTCTATTACCATGGTGTCTGGTTGATTGGCCAGTACCTGCCTGTCCATCTGGATCTGGAAATCCCACTGGATCTTAGCCCTGTTATTCTCCATGACCTTCTGTGGAATCTCCCATCTGGACTTGGGAGGGTCTAGCCCATACACTATACAGATGTTCCTGTAGACAATGCCAGCTACTTGGTTGTGCCATTCAGTGTACACTGATCCTGCCTGCATCTTACACCCTACCACAGTGTGTTGGACTGTCTCTGAGGCTTCTTTGCACAATCCGTACCTTGGGTCCTGTCTAGTGTGATAGACCTACTTCTATGGATCTGGTGTTTAGTGCCTGTTCTTGTGCTGCTGTGATCAGTGCCTCAG